ATAAGTAAAAACAGAAATTCCGAACCGTGTAACCAATCAGATATTTAAAATACAGTGTTTCAAAAAAATTGCGCGCATAATGCAAATTCATTTCGAAAATTTTTTTGAATGACCAAAATGATTGAATAACTTGATTATGTGATAAACAATCCTTGAAAGTATTTATCACATTGTTTGTCTTTATTTTTTGATGTACAAACTTTGTAAAAGATGGTTATTGCAAAATTAGAAGCACAACATAAAACAATTTTACATTTTTGGATGAATGGTATCCATTCATCAAAAGAAATATCAAAAATAACCCTTTGTACTATTCAAAGAAATTAAAAGAGATAGGCACTATCAAACATAAAGGCGGAAATGGTCATCCATACAGAGTTACACGAACTTTTGCATGTTCTATTGAGCAGGTTGTTTGCCGCAATAGTGCTGTTTCAACACAACAACTTGCAATAAAACTTTGAGAAATGCATAGTGCATCAATTTCACATCCTACTGTATGGAGACATATTAAAAAAAAAAGATTATAAGAGTTCCGTGCCTGTTGGAACACTGATGTTAACAGCTACCATATTGAAACAAGAATGGAATGTGCACAATCATGATTGGAGCCTTACAATTTTTACTGATGAAATGGCCTTTGACTTGTTTCATAATAAAATTAGAGATGTCATAAAAATGGCAAAGACCAATTCAAAGAATGCCAAAAGATCATCAAAAAGTAATGGCCTGGGGTGGCATTTTGTTAAAAGGCAAAACATCATTATTTTGCTTTACCAATATTATATTATGGATGGACCTTATTACATTAACATCTTACTCTTTGAATTAAATTCAATATTTTTTTATTAATCTCAATTCATTATTTGTTAATTGTGATTGTCTGATTGTTGTTCTTTATGTAATATGGGTGAGGAAGGAGGAGGAATCAGTTCATTTATATCATTATTAACATCATTATTATTAGAAAACAATGATTAATCAATACTAATAAAATTTTAAGAGTACACAACCAAATATGTACACTGTTTGGTATAGAGAGTGCTATCTATATATAAATTTGAAAGGGATTTCCCAAAGGCAGTTCATTATACAGGATAGAGAATTTAATTATAAAGTTCATTATACAGAGCAAATTATTAATGACCAAAATCTTGGCTCATTATACAATGCAAGATACTTAGTCCCTACAACTTTTATTGGACTTACAGATCTTTTAACTCCTCCAAAAATGGAAAAAAATGGAATTCTGAAGCTAAGACTTTTCTCTACAAAATTACATCTTCATTTGTTGATGTGTCATGTTATTGTGGAGGAATTAAATTTAACCAAAGTGGTGTATCACACACAAATTTTCTATGTTAAAAAATAAACAAATTGGAAAAATTGAAAATTTTGAAATCTGAATAAATGTCTTTTATCACGTGATAATAATAAGAAAAAACTGAGAATGCAGCATGGTAATGAGCTTTTGTTTTTTACATATTACACAATCATGCATATGAACAATTGTTAACTATCATCTCTCATCTTTCCTTTTTTTTTTCATTGGTATATTACTGCCATATACTTATTATCTTAACTATCTATATATCTGGATAAAATTCTGCACTTGATGATTTTCACAAAACATGTGACAATAAAATTTTTATTGAATTTTTGATTGTTCAAAAACTGATGCTGTGATGCAGAAAGTTGTAGGGACTAAGTGTCTTGCACTATTTGGTTCTCAGAGGTTCAGTATAGAGGGCTTAGACTGTACATCAAGTCATCAGTGCTATTTAAGAATAAGTTGATTTTAACTATTATACCTCTTTCTAATGCTCAAGTAAAAAGAATGCTTTCTCAATATAAAATAAAATGTGAAATAGAATGAATATTGATATTTTGAGTAATCATTTAATGATATTATTAAATGAACCATAAATAGAAGATTTTGATTTTGGAAAGCATATAGAGCATAGAAGGAGAGCAACTATGAATGTTAAGGAAAATTATTACATATGGGGGATTTCTAGCAAAAACCAAGCATAAGGCTTCCAGACCAAATCGAGTTTTCTGCATAATATATATCTATACCACAAAGATTATAACTGGTAACATTTGTTTATTTAGTACAATAATGAGATACTAGGCTTGAAATATTCACTCTATATATATCAAAAACGGGAGGCATTCATTTTACCAACAATCATTTTACCGACAACTCGGAGGTTACATTTAACCTTTACATAATCAAACAACTAATAAAACACTAAAATGGCGCACCGCGCGTTGTCGGGTAAAGTAATACGTGCCCATCAAAAACATGTGTAACATATTTGCGTCACTCAAAAAAAATCCGATTTTTGCTAGAAATCCCCCCCCCCCCCATGTAGATTTAATTTTACAAACTAGCTAGGGAATGGATTTTTGCTCATTCATTCCACCTTAAAAAATTCTGATAATAAAAGATTTGTATTTTGATAATCATCAAAGGGTTTAAAAATAAATGAGAGCCTAAAAAGTGGAACTTTGTTAGAAACTTCAAACATTCATTAGTAAGAATTTTATTAAAAAACTTGTAACTAACTTTACAAAATTTCTTGTTAATAATAACCACGGGAATAGATAGAATAAACTTCTATTTTCTGACAATTTCCTATCAATGAATATGCCTAAGTTTGCTTTTTATCTATATTTACATGTAAGAATTACATTTTTTTGTTCAATAATAAGTTTAATAATAAGTAAATATTACTGACTGGTTTTGTTAATTATAATTATAAATATAAGATTATTTGATTATTTTTATTTCATGAATGGCAAGCTTAATATTAAGAAAAATAAATTATAATAATATGATATAATCACAAAAATGGCTTTATTCAAATGAAAAGATTTGCACAAACCTTAACCAATCAATTTTTTCAATAAAATTCCATATAATCAATCAATCAATTGTAATAGTAATGACCAAAAAAGTGATAATTAATTTCCAAAACAAGACTTTCCACAAAAAATTTCGGAAAAAACACTTGAAAATCGCCGAATATTCGACAAACATAAAACATCATTACCATAGAGGAGTTCTTGTACACATGTTTAATGAATTTGCTGTATTTTATTGTTTAATATTCATATTGTTATGTTTGATTTTTTTTAATATTAACGATTTTCCTCTATGGCGTACCTTCATTCAATTTTAAAGTGTGTACTAACTAGGTAATGAAACTTATTATTATTCAGATAAGTTTTTTTTCTCCCACCCTTTTTTACATATAATGATGATTTTTTTTGTTTGAACTAAATTTTGTATTGAATATGTATGTATGAGCATGTTATATAATGTACAAGAAGAACAAATGGTAAATTGTTTGTTCGTGTCCTTATTCCCCACAAATGTATAATGCATCGTTTAATGGTACAAAAATCAAATGTTGCAGAGAATTAAAAAATTTTTTTTGAAAGTTTTGACAAGTAGATAAGTAGATGACGAGATGGTAACAAGTTAAAAGTTACACAATGATATTTATTATAGAGTCATATTACGCTTTGTGTATGCTAAAAAAAAAAAATAATATATTAACATGAAGCAACCCCAAAACATTGTGAACCTTATAGAGAATCTTGATTTGTAAATGTTGTGGAGAGCATGTAGTAAGTGGGTTAAAAAAGTTTGTTAAATAATGATTTAAATTTGGTGTCAATAAAAACCTCGAGAAAAATTTTTTAAAAAAATTTTTTTTTTAAAAGGTTTGACGATCTAAAGTCATGCGTGCGTATCACTACGGTTTTTATAATGTGTGTTAACGTCATACATAATTTTTTTTGATTAGATTGGAGAAATTTAATGAATTTGCAAAGGAAATCGCATTATTAAATACTATGGTATTAAGTTATAACAAAGAAACTTGCATTGTCTTTTTAACAAGCAATTCACACGATCTTCTGCCTTATTGTTAGTAATTATTGGATGAAAAAAAAAATTTTTTTGTTCCTTAATATTAATTAATTTTAGGATATTGTAGATAGATAGTGCATGTAATAATGGTCTTCTAGATTTATTATTCTAATAATGTTGGACCGTATGCACGAAAAAATATGAAAATTTTATATTGATTCATTAAAAAAAAAAAATAATTACATCATTTAAAAAAAATAATTAATTATATCATTGAAAAAAAATTTTTTTTTTTTTTAATGAATGAATGGATGAATGAATGTATGTCGAATGCTACTATTATTCAAAAAAAATTTTCATCAGGTGGGATAAACAAAAAAAAAACAACTAAAAAAGAATTTATTGAAGAAAGTCATAATTTAAAAAAGCTGTTGATGCGTAGGTTGTTTGAAACGTGATTAAAAAAATAGATAAAGAAATCTAATTACCATATTTAGTTCCGCCAAATTCAAAAGTTTCAACACATTTTCTTTCAAGAATACGAAATAAAGCACCATAAACAAACTTACATTTATGTAGCAAATATAACTGTATTAACTGTAATGAAATCGATGTGCCACGAGGACATTATGATAATAATAATATTATTGTTATGATTAAAATAAATAAACATGTAAAAGAAAAATATTTATTATTCTTAACATTCATGCCAAATGTTGCACAACTTTGACTACAATGTTCTAGAACCAATTCTTCGGTAACTTGAAAATCAGAAAATTGTCAATGAAAACTATATAATAACAAAATGATAAATAAATAATATAAATAATATAATATATAATATTATCCTTTTTTATTTTTATCCCATATCTTTAATTAAATTTTTATTATTGATCTTAAAATTACGTCCTATTCTTCCTGCAAATTGAATTGATAAATCATCATTTATTATCATTACAAAATTTTTTCCTTTTGAAAAATTAAAAAAGTTTTTAACGATTTTTTTTTTTTTTGTAAGCGGAATAGACAACGTTTTAACGAGTTTTTTTATTATTCTCTTGACAAAAAATTTTTCCTTCTTTTTTAAAATTCTTTATATCTATATAATAACTAACGAATGGATAATGAAAATTTCATCACATCAAACGTACACTCCATATCTCCATCAACCGATTACAACACTCCATTGAATATCAATTATGTTATTGATGGAAATAATCCTAATATGTTATTAAGCCCTGAATATGGAAATAAAGAAATAAATACATTGTCGTCGTCATGTATAACTCAACATCATTCACATTTTCCTCCTAACATCATCTCTACCATACCATACACTTCACAAATTGCCGCTAATGTTTCACAACTTCAGTTTCCTCATGGAATGAAGTTGCAAGAGGTTCATTCTACTACTTATTCTGATTATTATTATTATTATATAAATAATTTTTTTTGGAAAGAGTTGATTTTAAAAGTTTATTTTGTAAAAAATTTTATTTAAATTATGTCATAGAATTTTGAAGAAAGTCCACAAGGTATTAAACAAGTAAACAAATATAAAATTATGACCTCAATATTGATTACCATATTTCGCAGGTGAAGAAGGAACGTCATCATTACCAAATCCTTTAATAATTTGGTTAATAAAAAATCTTCTAAAAGGCTTACTATTTATTTTCTTGCGAAATATGGTGAATTGAATGATACGTTATAATTGGTTGTTTAATTTACGGCTTTTTTATAGTTCTGTTAACACTAACAATTGAATGTGCGTTTCTTTCTTCTCCTCTTTTAAATAATAACAATAATAATAAAAAAAAGAGAAAATTCCAACTATTGATTATTATAATAATAATAGTAATAATGGTAACATCATCTGTCCACCAACACCAACAACACCTAATAACGAAAGATTAATTCTAAATGGTGGATGGATGAATACTCAAATCCATACTGAATTTGCGACATTGAATCAAGCAGAAACATTAAATCAACAAGGTCAATATCTACTTCATAATGCAATGCCTCGTAACCCTCGCATTGCATTTGAATGTTTTTTCATAGCGGCCAATTTTGGTTCGCAAAAGGGAAAACATCAAGTCGCATACTGCCTACAACACGGATTTGGCGTCCCAAAGTAAATAAAATTTATTTATAATAATAATAATAATAATAATAATAATAATAATAATAATGACAAATAATAATAATAATGATCAAATATACATGCATATACAGAAATGAAACAAAGGCAGTGGAACTATATTTGGAAATAGCAAATTCTGGAAATCCAATTTCTGCCTCTTTATGTCAGCTTGGAATATGTTTTCAAATGGGTATAGGAGTTCAAGCTGATGCAGCGCGTGCAATCGGTTATTATGAACGCGCTGTTCTTATGGGGTAAAGATTTTTCTCATACATTATATATATTTTCACGAATCAAATAATACTAATAACCATTATTATTACTATTAGAAATCAAGACGCGATGTTTAACCTTGCATATTGTCTTCGTTATGGGGTGGGAACTGCAGTTGATAATAAAAGGGCATACAATATTTATCTTCAACTTGCATATTTAGGCGATCCTCAAGGAATGAAATTTGTGGGAAATTGTAAATTATTGGGGATTGGTACAAGTCAAAATAAAAAAGAAGCGATCGAATGGTTCAAATGTTCCAGTAAAAGTGATATATATTGGGGAGGTAGAGTTGAATATGCTTTAAATCTTTTAAATGATGGAACATCAGTGAATGCTTTACAAAATCGCCGTGAAGCATTCGAACTATTAAGATCTGTTTGTGAATCATTCCCCACATCTCCTGGGCCAATTAAATTATTGCTTGGCAAATGTTTTCATTTTAGCATAGGATGCCAAGAAGACTACATAAAGGCATTGTATTGGTATCAAGAAGCAATAAAAAGTCATTTCATGCCTTTATATGCTATACGAGAGTGCCACTATTTGATTGATCAAGTTCAAAATATTTATCGAGAACCCCTTGTGAAAAAAGAAGTGGTTCATGACAACGACTTTTAAAAAATTTTTTTTTTTTCATCCTTTCGTTTTTTTTTTTTTTTTAAAAAATATCATCATCAATTTTTATATACGTTTATATGTCATATGAAAAAGTTTTTTTTATTCAATCAAGTAAGAACAAAGGAAAAAAATATTTACAACAACTATTAATTATTAATCAATAATTTATTAAGATAATAAGAACAAAATATAATAAGCTTTAAGTATATAAAAAAAAACAATAAAAAAAAATATTGATAAGGTATCATCTGATTATTTATTCATATATTTCTTTCTTTCACTTATTGAAAATTTTTCCAAGCTATATCTCAACATCACTCTTGGCATTTTACTTGCATTTTTATCTAAAAAGTTAACCAGTGTTTTCTTTGATTTCTAAGTATACATATAAAAAAAATTTTGATTTTCATTTAGTAATTATTATTGTTACTATCATTACTATCATTGTCATACCTTTCCCACCTCTCTTAACATCCAACCTGTAGCTTTGTGTATCAAATCTTCCTTGTCATTCAAATAAATTTCAGATAATTTTATTGTATCTTCATATTGTTCTTTATTGATGAAATATTGAGTGGCAACCATTGCAATTCTTCTATCCCAAAGTCTTTCAGAAATTGCCAGTGTTTTGTATAACCATTGATCTTTAAGATCTAGTTTGTCAAACAAATAAGCACCAACAATTTGACTGGCTGATGTGTCAACCAAATCCCAATTATCAATACCTTGTCTCATATCATTAATATAAAAATCAAAAATTATTTTCTTCTCTTCCAAATCTTTTGTAACTTTAAATCTGTCGACAATGTTAATAGCGGCTAAAATCCTTTCTTCATGATACTTGGATTGAATTAAATCTTTCAACATTTCATAAGACAAAAAACCTAGACTTTTTGATACGCTACGAATATCCGGAACACTGGTACCCATTAAAAGGTCACCTTTACCATATTTTTCAGCCCTGAGGTACCTTGCTGAAATTGCTGCTCTTTTTTTTGAAGCTTTTAAAAGTAATTTATCATGAATTTGTGAATAGTTATAATACACCTTTTCTAACGGTGGTGATTTCTTTAACAGAAGAAAAGATTCCTCCTCCTCCTCCTCCTCTTTTTTAATAATAGTTCTACGTACACGTTTTGTAGTCGTTGATTCAACAACAGAGTTTTTATTATCGGGTGCTAAACGTTTTTTAGTAATCTTATTGTTGTCTGCAATATTAGCAATGGTGGTTTTTTTTCTTAGTCCACTTCCTCTAGTTTCAACAACCATTTTCTAAAAATTTAAAGTTTTGTGATAGATTTTTCCAAGAATAAAATTTGATGATCATCATCTGAAAGCATTTCAAACAGAATTGGGTAAACAATGATATGATAATCAGCAACTAGCATAATTAAAATTTCGAGATTTATTTTATTTTTTAGTGTAATATATATATATATATATATATATATATAATAGACAAAATTCTATTTATTTTTTAATGCATTAATTAAGTTTTTTAAAATTTCTATATTTAATTAACAAATAAATTAATTGTAAAAAAAAACAAAATTGATAAAATCAAATAAGATTCAGGTAAAATAAGGTTTGCACTATTTTTATTATTATTATTATTATTATTAGTATTAGTATCCTTGGCGCTACCGACTGTTGTACCATTACCTATCTGTTTAGGAGTGTATTGCACATTATTTATTCCAGCAACAACTGAAAATACATTAACACCATCACTTTGTTCCTCGTAGAAATCCACAGCTACATAATTTGGAATGTCCTTAAATGTTTGTTGACAATTCTTTGCATGAGTTTCTAAATTTTTTCCATTTGTAATATTTGCTGAATTTGGTTGCGGTAAACTTGTTTTGATGCCATTTATTGTGAGTGTTCCGGAAAGAAAATGATTCAAGACGTACATCGGACGTACTTGATCTTTTGGTCGGTCTACTGTACATACCCATCCATCAAGAGCGGTGTTTTCAAAGGGAGTTTCAAACACGTAATCATATTCACTCATCAACCTTAAAATAATAACGTTGATGATTAATAATTAATTAACAATTAATATGTTGCAGTGATAATAATAATATTTACCATGGAACGCTTGGACTAGCACCAACATCAATAAAATTAACAATTCTTTTGCCATTTTGTATCATTTGATTTAAAGTAGGCCAAGCATCACCAGCTTTTTGAGTGTGAGCAAATTGTGTTAATCCAGCTGCATCATAAATTTGTTGATATTCTGACGCAGTATGTTTGCCGATATTCTCCCAGAATATTGTGATAACCTCGTTAGGATTACTTTGCAAGAATTGAGTATAAATCTTCAACGTGTCTACGGCTAATCCAGCATCCAAAAAATTACAATTATTATGACAAAGTTCTATTGGGCCATTTTGTGTATCTGGTGTTTTAGTATTACCATCAAGCATAAAGGCACGGACACCATCCTTAAGTTGTGTACTAATGTCATATATTTGATTGGCTGCTAATGATGGACTCATAAATGCATAAGCGTTATGAGTCGTAACGTGTGCCACGTCTGAATAAAGCTTTGAACACAATTCGGCATATCCATTACAAACTTGAGCCGAGATTTGCGTTATACAAACTAAAATTATAACCGAGATGGTTGGTAGTTTCATGGTAAAGTTCTAAAGTGTCAAGTTCGTATATTTTGTAAAAGGGTAAAAAGGAGAGTAAGAATAGAAAAAATTTTATATAAATTATTATTGCTATAATACAAGCTTCAAAATTAATGTTTGGTAATCTGGTTTTTGGCTATTTAAAGGGAATAGAGATGTAATATGTAAAAATATATTGTTAGATAGGGAATAAAAAATAATATTTTTATTGCACTAATAAGAATATCAAAGAATATTAAAAAACTGGTCAACAGTTTTTATTTATAAAAAAATTTTAAATTTATTTATAAATAAATAAAAAACAAAACGGGAAGAGGAAAATAATAAAAAATATATAAAAAAAAATAAAAATACCCATTTAATAAAGCTAATGCATGCTATTTTTAAATTACGGACTATTACAAAAAATTACTATATTTGTATTCATTACGAATTTGTTTAAATTTTTTCCAAATTGGGTTAAACTGCACTCTCGTACTCTGCGATCTTACGATATACGATGTGAATAACAATCCATTCTGATGGCAAGAATTTAAACATTAATTAATGATTCAATTGTAAAAAAAAAATGAATTAAAAAGATCAGATCAAATCTTTACAAGATATCAAAGAGATCTGTAAATAGAAAAGAACATTTTTTTAAGTTACAATCTTCATTCAATTTTTTTGTGTGACATATGTACCTTTTGTGGTTTGCTACAGACAAATAAAAAGACTTTTAAAAACTTTACGTTCTTTCTCTCTACCATCCCACCAACAATCTTTAACTGTTTGGTCCTTTGCAAACACAATCTTTTTACTTTAAATTGAAATTGAAATTTTAATTCTTATTAATTTTAAATTTTATATATCTTTATCATTCTTTTTATTTATTTTTTCCAAATTTATATTTAAATTTATTTTATTTATTGAACATAAACCATGTCGGGCGAAAATAATAATAATGTCACTTTAAATGCTGCCGGATCCTCCTCATCTATTATTGTTGGTGATACAACAAAGTCAAGTGCTAGTTCTATTGTTAATAATGGTAATAATAATAATAATAATAATAATACTGGTAATTACTCTTCTTCTTCCCAATACTACTACTACATCTACTATATCTATCATTGCTAACACTTTTCTCTAACAAGATGACTCTAACAACAACAAAAATGAGAAACAAGCTCGTAAAAAACAAAATCGTCAAAGTTTGAAGCAGCTTTTTAATAAAGGTGGTGGTGATAATAATAATAATAGTAATAATAATAATAAAGAGTCTAAAGGAAATAATAATAATAATGGTAATGTAACGATGACAATAGTTGCAATTATTGAATTATTGTTAATTATGATAGCAATAATAAGTCTAATAATAACAATTCTTCTTTTTCTGATGTTACTACTAATACCACCAATAATAATGACACAGATCAACAACAATCAAAAAATAAAGATGTCGTATCAATTGAGACTAACAAACAACAACAACATCAACAACATCAATACCAACAACACCGTAAATCTACTACTATCACCAATATTATTAATACTGGCAATAATAGTTATAATGGACCTGATTCTCAAAAAAAATATAAAAATCAAAATCCAAACCAAAACAACAATACTTATAATTATAATAACAATAATTATAATAATAATTACAATAATAATTATAATAACAATAATGATAACGGATCTCATCGTCGTGGTAAATCTTTGGCTCATGTTGGAGAACTTCAAGGCCCATCCTCCTCCTTATTGTCTTCTAAAAATAATAAAGTTAGTAAAGATGATTCTGAAAATAAATCTGAAGCTTTAGAATCTTTACAACAAATAATTGCTAGTCTTAAGAGTCTACCTGCTGTTTCTTCAAAAAATCAAAATAATAATAAAAAAAACTCCGAGGACAACAACAACAACAACAATAACAACAATAACAACAACAGCAGCAGCAGCAGCAGCAACAATAACAATAACAGCAACAATAATAATAATTATAATAATAGCAACAATAATAATTATAATGATCCTTCAAAACATAAAAGACATGAGTCAAGTGCAGATAGTGTCGGAAGAAAATCTAACGCTTTCCCTAATATTAATAAACAACACAAAAAAGGTGCATCGGTATCTTTCTATTTTCCTTCTCCTCCTGCAAACACATCATCATCTCCTCTAAAATCTGTTCAAGATCCTGATGACAGTAATAACAAACCAATGAATATTGAGAATGCATTACAGGATACGCTTACCTCATTGAGACGTATGAGCCAAGATAGAGGTAAAGCTCAAAAAGATAAAGAATCTGATAAAAAATATGATGATGATGAAGTTGAAAATGACGAAGATAAAAAATCCAAAAGAAAAAAGAATCTCAGCATTAACAATAACAACTACAACAACAATAATAATCAAAATAACAATAACAACAATAACCAAAATAACAACAATAACAACGGCAATCAAAATAACAACAACAATAATAGAAAATCTAACCTTTCTTCTTCCGATGAAGTTATTTTATATGGTGGTGTTGATAGAAGACCATCATATGCAGATCAAGATGATTCTTCTCCAACATCTCCTTTTGATTTCAAAAAATTGAATGACGAGTATAATTATCAACAGCAGCAACAACAACAACAACAACAATATCAACAACAACAATCCTCTATTAAAAATTCCCATCGCCGTCATCAATCTCTTGGGTTTAATTTATTTAATAGTGCTTTAGCTAATGCTACTACCAACTCTCCCCCTATATTTCCTGTAAAATCGATTGTACAAGCTCATGGTCGTAGACACAGCGTTGCTCTTAATAACAACAAGGATATTATGAAAGAGCTTGAAAAAAATCAAACTAGAACAATTGATACTGATGGAAAAGGTCATCGTAGAACTAATTCCAGAAACCTTGATAATAATTGGAGATCAGGTAAGGATAAATACATACATCTTTATTATTTATTAAATGTATGAAATGAATTTTTATTATAAACATTATCATCATCAAGAATAAATACTCAACTGCTTCGCCTCTTTCTATCTTAGCTCAACCATTCAATCAATTCCAAGTCTTTAATAAATTTGGTGGTGGTCAAAACCAAAAGAAACAACAGCAAAATCAACAAAATTCCAATCAACAGCAAAGAAAGTCTCTTTTTGCTCCCTACCTTCCTCAAGCCTCTCTTCCTTCTCATCTTAAAGCTGGAGAACTTGTATATGGTGTTTTAAGAATCAATAAACGAAATCGCTCTGATGCCTACGTGACCACAGAATTTCTTGATAGTGATATCTACATCTGTGGTTCCAAGGATAGAAATCGTGCTTTGGAAGGTGACATAGTTGCTATCCAACTCTTAGATCCAGAAAAAGTATGGCAAACTAAAAAAGAAAAAGAAGAAAAGAAACGTAAGAAAGAGGAAAGTGCTGGAATCGATAAAAAGAAAGTTGATAAAAAGAAAGACGATGTTGAGGTTGAGGGACAAGGTTTATTATTATTCGAGGATGATGAAGTTATCACAGATGATCAAAGACCAAAATATTGTGGACATGTTGTTGCTGTCATGGAAAGAATGCCTGGACAAATGTTTTCTGGTACTCTTGCACTTTTGCGGCCTTCTTCTTCTGCCACGAAAGAACGCGAAGCTGCTGAAAAAGCTCGCCGTGATGCTCAAGATAGAGCAAACGGTATTGAGCCAAGAATTGAGGAATCAAGAGATTATAGAAGAGATGAAAGAACCGAACGCCCTAAAATTGTTTGGTTTAAGCCTGTATGTGACTGATTAGTGATTAATGATCAATTAATTGATTGATATTCTAAACTAATTACAACTTCGTTTCCTTCCTTTCAATTCTTTTACATTATATATTGTATAGACTGATAAACGTGTTCCTTTAATTGCTATCCCGACTGAACAAGCACCACTAGATTTTGTTGAGAATCATCAAAACTATGCACAAAAACTATTTGTTGCGTGTATCAAACGTTGGCCAATTACGTCTCTTCATCCATTTGGTACACTGGTATCACAACTTGGTGAAATCGGTGATATAGATGTTGAGACGCAAGCTCTTATCAGAGACAACAACATCTCAACTGAGGAATTTAATGAGAATGTGTTGAAATGTTTGCCCCAGGTACCTTGGACTATTCCAGAAAAGGAGATTGAGTTACGTCGTGATCTACGCTCAACTCGTATCTTTACCATTGATCCATCAACTGCCAATGATCTTGATGATGCTATTTCATGTGCTCGATTACCTGATGGCAATTATGAAATCGGAGTCCATATTGCTGATGTCAGTTATTTTGTCAAACCAAATACTCTGCTTGATCGTGAAGCCCGTAAAAGAGCTACAACTGTATATTTAGTTCAAAAGGGTATTCCAATGTTGCCTAATCTATTGTCCGAAGACTTGTGTAGTTTGACTCCTGGCGCTGATAGGTAAGTTGATTGTTTGATTGATTGGCTAGCTCTAGCTATTGTGACAATGATGATAATAATATTTGGTTTTTTTTTTGACTCAGGCTTGCGTTCTCTGTTTTTTGGACCATGACTCCTGAAGGAAGATACTCAAATACACGATTTGGAAAAACAATCATCAAGCCTTGTGCAAAGTTATCATATGATGATGCTCAAGAAGTAATTGATGGAAGACCATTAAATCCCAATGTTAAAATTTATAATGATTTTTCTGCAAGTGAAATTGAAGCTGATATTAAAGTATTCCATGTAAGTGGTCATATTTAAAAAAAAAACTTTCAAAAAATTTAATGAATTATTGATGGTAATGATGATGATGTTTATTATTATTATTATTATTATTATTATTATTATTATTATTCGATATCATTTATATTGTAAATAGGAACTTTCTCAAAAAATGCGTGAAATACGTTACAAACGTGGTGCATTATCATTAAGTTCAATTAAACTTACTTTTGACATAGATGAAAATGATAATCCAATTCAATGCCATGTTTATAAACAAAATGCCGCTAATCAACTTATTGAAGAATTCATGTTACTTGCAAACATGAGTGCTGCACATAAAATCTCTAGCACATTCCCTGAACAAGCATTGTTAAGACGCCATGCTGCTCCTATTGATCGTAGACTTGTATGTATCTTTTAAAATTTTATTTATTTATTTTTTATTTTGAGTGTAATTAATCATTTTATTATTTTTTTTTTTGTTTATAGAATGATTTTCGTGAACATGCAGCTAGATTTGGTTATGAATTTGATATTTCATCTGCAGGAGCTTTACAAAGATCATTTAATAAAGTTGATAATGCAGATGCAAAAGAGGTATTATTTATTATTTTACTACTAATACCAACATTAATAAAAATGACAATATCTTATAATACTCTTTATAACTTTATTTTTAATTAAGGTTTTGGAACTTCTTGCCATTAAACCATTACAAAGGGCCAAGTATTTCTGTACCGGTACATTAGATATTGCCAAATATCAACATTATGCATTGAATGTTCCACTTTATACACATTTCACTTCACCTATTCGTCGTTATGCTGATGTTCTTGTTCATAGAATGCTCGAAGCTGCTTTATCAGGCGGTATGTGATCATATATTAAAAAGAAAAGTTTTTTTTATTTATAAAAAAAAATATTGAATTCATTTTTCATTCTTATTAAAAATAACAATAGAGAGGAAATTTTATATCGATAAAGATAATGTACAAAAAACAGCCAGTTATTGTAATATTAAGAAAGAAGCAGCAAATAATGCACAAGAACAAAGTAATCACTTATTTTTATGTGTACTTCTTAATAATTTGGCAGCTCAATCTGGTCCAGTTATTCGTGAAGCAAAAGTTGTGGGTGTGAAAGAACATGCATTTGATGTTCTAATACCTATTTTTGGTATAGAGAAGCGAGTGCACTTGGATCAATTGCCTTTAGAAAAATTTATTTTCAATAGTGAAAAGATGGAGTTAACATTGGTTTGGAAGCATGGTGTTAGCTCTTTGGAACCAATGTCCGATGATTATGGATTCGGTGTTGAGGAGGAAGAAGAAGGTTTAGAGGTTGATGAAGAGGCATTGCTTGCAGACGATAACGATGATTACCATTACGAAATGATGGATGTAACTAGTCTTCCAATCGAGGATGAACATCGATTATTTGATAATAATTCAGATGGAGGAGATGATGATGAAGATGACGAAGATGATGAAGATGTCAAAGAAGATGATGACGATGATACGCAAAATACTGCTGAGGCTGCTGCTGGCGATGGAGAAGCCACTAGTATAATTGTTAACAATAATGATACCGGAAAGGGTGAAAATGTTTTAACGACAACAGCTGCTACTGCTGTCGCACCATCTTCTACCACTTCTTTTAACGAAAAATCTAATATTAAAATGGAAGAAAATACTAGTGCTAATTTTAATATTGCTGCTTCATCACCTGAAGAAGTTTCATCGTCAACATCAACAGCTAATAAATTATCTTCTCCAACCACCACTTCTTCTGCACCAGTTATCCAACAACCCGTAGTATCAAAATTGACCATCACTTCAGATCCTGCTATTCCTAATTCTCAAATAATTCGAGAGCTTACTCACCTTAATGTCGTTATCACTGCTGATTGTAAAAAGAGCCCACCTGTTATCAAAGTTTTAGCTGTAAATCCTTTTACTTAAAACTTTAAAAAAAATTTTTTTAATGTAAATGAATTTTTTATTTATATATATATATATAGAGAGATTGCATTTATTATATTTTATTTTTTATTTATTATTTATATATAGATAATTGTAGTTTATTTGTTTATTTATAGGTTTATAAAATATTTTTTATATTTGTTTATATATATATTGTTTTCTTTTCCAATATGGTTTTTACATTTAATTTGTAACAAACTTTATTTTTAATAAAAATAAAAGCAAGAATCTTGAAAAACTAGTATATCATCATCATTGTTATCATTGTTAACGTATTCAGTTCATAATTCCACAGGATTGCGAACGAATTTATACAGATTATATTAATATAGATGGGACTGTAAAAAATCCGAATGGTTGTAAAAATATTTTTAGGGCTGGTAAACTTTTAGTGAGTATTTTCTAATCCATTTACTTTATTATTATAAGACTTAAAATAAAGAGTCCAAATTTCTTTTTTCCCGGGTGGCACTCCACCAGATTTATCATTAAGTGCTATATGATATGCTTCAGTGATAGTTCTTAGGAATCTTTTATTGTTCATTTCTATTAATTTATCTTGACTATTAACAAGGTTCCGAACATTTATATTATCAAATATAGTCAACAACCAAATCAAATCACGTAAATCATCACCACCACTACGCTTATATCTTTTAATTGTCAATTCTAACATCAGACTCAACACGTGTGGATCAATTTTTAATCTACTACGATTATTCATTCTTCCCAACTCGATCATTTCATTAAACAATTTTTTACCGCTATGCCAATCATTTGCCCGATTACATGCATTCAATAATAAATCAAAAGTTTCGATTATTGGCCGTAGATTTCTTTTGCGAATTGTATTATAAACATTAATTGCTTCCTCGTATTTTTTTGTTTCATTATAGAAATAAATCAACTTGTGAAAATTGTAAATGTCTGGCTGCAATTTTGGAAACATAAACATTGCCTCATCAAATAGTTGGATTCCTTTCTTATACTCTTCGGATTTTAAACATAATCCAAGCATAACATCAAATGCCTTGCGGCTCATTTCAAGACGATACCTTGACAATGATGATGTATTGCTAGCATTATTATGTGATGATTTTTCAATGAAAGAAACACCTAATCCATAAACATCGCCAAGTATATCAAATCCTTTTTGATACTGGTCAGAGTTTTTACACGCTAACATCATGGACCTTACTAATTCATCATCCAATATCAACCCTTTTTTGTCTAATTGTTGTTTAGAAGTTGGACCCCAACTAATGTCATACTCACGATGCTGTGGCTGGTGTTGTTTCTCGATCTGATTACAAATATGATTCCATACTCGTAATGCTGTCTCATACCCATTTTTTCCTTGTTTTGCACATGAATTTAATATGATGGTGAACGTTTCATGATTTGGATGTACGGATTGAATTTTCATTATTTCATCAAAGTGAATTTTGATTGCTTCATAATTATTGGAAAGTGCACATACTTTTAAAAAACAATTCACATGAATAACATTTAATTGAACTGGCTTACTATTGTTCGGAGGTGAAGTAGACAATTCTGAAGAAGATGACGACGACGACGACGACGACGATGATGATGATGATGATTGTGAACATAATGTTTCTAAAATTTTTTGTGCTTCTATAACATTATCTTTAAATGTTCCATTTTCTGCTAATCCATTCAGAAGGATGGTAAAGGTCATATCATTTGGATGCAAACCACGACGTTTCATCTTTAAAATACAATAAAGTAATAATATGATTATTGCCATTAATGTTCTATACAAAAAAAAAAATAGTAAGTAAAAGGTACCTCATTATATAATTTAAATGCTAATTTTAATCTTTTATTTTGTACACTAAAATCTATCAAATGATTCCATACAACTTCTGATTGTGCTGCTTTCTTTGCCAAAGTTACCAATGTTATTGCTTCATCTAATCTTCCTTTGTCATTCATATTTTTGATTTTTTTTGCTAATAAATAACTATCAACAGGAATGTTTATATTTGGATTTAAAGGCTTATTTGGAAGTTTGACTCCTGAACATTTTGGTGTACCGAAAAAATTACGATTAAAAGTTGAAGTTTTAGGAGAATACTTCAAATTCTCTATGAAATTTTTTATTATCAGAGAATTAATATTCTTGGTATTTTTTGAAAAAACAAGTAAAGTTGACATTTTTTTTTACAACAAAATTTTTTTGATTATCAAACGTTCACGTGATAGCGTATTTCAAGCCCAAAATCTTCTTTTACCTTCCAAAGTCAAACTTCTTTTCCAAAGATTAATGAATATTTTTATTAGTTAATTCATATTTCATAATATGTGTTTAACTAGACACCATGTATTTCGAAAGGTTTTTTTCAAAAAATCGATTCTAAAAGGAAAAACTGGCGAAGGATTATAGAATAAAGTCGCGTATAACAAATAGTAGGAAGTTTTAGATTTGTCCAGATTTCCTCACATGTCTTTATTTACATTAAATATATATTTTCAGCATTTGGCCTAGCGTGATTACGCGTTTCATGATAAAGTTTTAAGTTCATTGATTCGATAAAATAAAATTTATTTAAAATATAGGAATTGGTATTTAAATAAATAAAAATTGTTTTATTTTATTAGAAAATTTAATTATTAATTATTATTATTTAATTGATTTGTTCATCAGTCATTAATAAAATGTTAAAATGTTAAATTGTATAAAGAATCTTCTTGCGAGTTATCAAGTAAATCTTGAGCTTGCTGAATAAGAAAAGAAAGATGTTTAGCTGATGAATCAATCCATTCTAATGATACCAGTTGTGAATTAAACAAATCCATCAATCCATCAATCTATTATACACAAATTAATATTTAAATATAATAATAAGTTTAAATATAAAATAAATAAATTATAATATTTACTGGATCATCTATCATCATATCAGTAATATTATTAGAATTACACGATGGTAATATGTCTGTATTGGTATCATTAATCATTGTAAGTAAATTGCAATTCATATCATTTATTTTTTGATTCACGGATTCAAAGTTCTTGTAACTAGAATCAATATAAATATCAATATATAATATAAAAAACTATAGTTATATTATACATTATATAGATCTTACTTTGTTTCTCGTTGGTAATCGTATGAATTTACATCCTCAAGACAAATTCCTTCAAAAACTCTTTCCATACTGCTCAAAAACTCGTCAATTACGATTTGTTTACTGGAAATTTCCTTTAAAGTTGCACAAATGTCGTATTTTATAGTTTTAGCTTTCTGTACTAATACATCGATATTTGCTGCCTAGAATATTAACATGATAAATTAATATAAAGTCAAATCTTATTTCATGTTGTATTGATCAATTATATCATTCACAACAGTAAAAAAATTATCATATTGTTAATATTAAAAATAATCAATCACCTCTGTATTAAATTCTATCATCTTTTGATCCAATTGGTGTGATTCTTCTAATTGCCGTTGAAAAGTTTGGTTGCATTGATCAAGATCTTCTGACCATCTACTTATTATAGAATTAATACTACTATGTTTCAACCAACTAGAACCTGTGTCTTCAGTATCTGTTATACATGTTGCAGTGGCAACAGTATCATTCTTGGTGTTGTCGATGCTTGATTTTTTAGATTTAGTTAATCTGTCACGATTTAAAAACTTTGGTAAAGTTATATTCTTGCGTCCATTATTGTTATTATCAGCAGGAATAATAAATGAACATGATTTTGGTCCAACTTTGATTTTTTGTAGGGTGGGCTCCATGTGTACACAAACAAATTGATGCAAATTATGTGGTATGTAGATCATTATCAAAATAATAACAGTCGCGTCAAATGTTTGATCTCGATGGCTATCTTATCCTAAACAGGCATGATAGTGTGACCGAAATGCCAAAAAATTGGAATTTGCAAAGTCTATCGACTTAACAATTTATATACTTGGTGATTTTAATCATGAATATTCTTTATGTCGATAATGAATTCGTGTTTCGGGCATCTCTCTCGTTTTTATATTCGAACTTTTATTTATATTGTTTATTTCATATAAATTAATTTTAAGAGAAAAGATTAACGTTACTTTTCGACCAAATGAAAGAACAATCAATCAACCGTTTAATTAAAAATTTATATTAATATTTTGGGCCTTGTTTATAAGATTAGACTTTCTATTTGTAATACAAATTATTATTCGAATTATTCGTTTTATTCAAAATTATTCGCTGTTTTATCATTTTATTCGCTTTATTCGTTTTATTCGAATTATGCGTTTTATTTTATTCAAATTATTCACTGTTTTATTCGTTTTATTCAAATAAAAATTTTGTTTAAACATTGTGCATGACTTTTGTTCATGATTATTTATTATTACTATTATCTGTTACAAGGTAAAGAAAAGTTGAATATGAAAACATTTGTTCTTTTGTTTCAGAAATGTAATTAATTAATGTTGTCTGTTTCTCTTATTTTTCCTAACACCCATTTCTAACGATTTCATCAATACCATCTATATTATACTTTGTAAAAAATAGAACATGTGAGTAATAATACAAATTGGATAAATTATAAATTTTGTTAAAATCAATTTATTGTTAATGCTATTAGAATTGTATTATCTTCAAGTAGCTGGTCTAACTCATTTGTAAGGTTATTCCTTTCTAAAATTCTTTTATTGTGGATATATTAATGTTGTAAACCTCAATCATTTCAGATATCATCTTATTATTTAATTTACTTATTTGTCGCATGAAATTAAATCAAACAAATAATCATGCAAAATAGCAGCGGATACTCTTGTTAATCATATTTATTTGGTTAAAAGTTGTCGCATGAAAATATATTAATAAATGCCGAAGCGGCTGAAATTATTATTATTATATATTTAAAAGAAAAGAAATAATAATACATTCATCAGCCGGTTAAGTTTTCTCTTAGAAAATTTGTTTGCAGGTCTTTTAGATTCTGGATGCTTGTATAATGGATTAACACAGTAAACCATTACTTGATATCATATAATTGTTATATAACATTTTTATAACACGCCATTACTAGATATAAATCTCATGGCAAAATTCCAAGCAATAATGTTATTGATAATTGTTAATAATAAACAATTAAGAAAATTTCAAAGATCACATGAATTCGAAAAAAAAACATGTGTACTAAACTAAAGGAACAGAACTCCACAATAAATAGTTTTTTTTGAAAAAATTTTTCATTACACTAAAGCTAGAGATCTATTAATTGAGTTAAAATTTTAAAATCTTAACTAGTTCTTGGGTTCTATATAATACTTTTAGAGATAATAAAAAATTTAGAAGGTCTTTTAAAGGTTCCCCACTATAGTAAGAATTGTCCCAGTTACTGCAGAATCTATATAGTTCTCGGGTTACATCGTGGTCTCTAGCAATTTTGACCAGTAAAATTCATTTGTAGCATCAAGTTATACTATTTGATAAAACCAATAAAGAATAATGTTTCTAAAAAAAAATTTTTAAATCTTTATTGCTTGTAAACATAAAACTTATTGCATAAATTATGAATAGTGATGATGATAATTTATAATTTTGATTTTTCAATATTTGAATTATGATTATTGTTGCTGTCTAATTTAACATTATAGCCAGCTATAGGAAACCAAATAACTACATCAATGCCAGTTTTATCAACATCGATTGGTCTTATAGCAATATTTCTGTCACCAATACTCAAGATAGTACCCTTAACAGGTACTTTACCATAATCATCAGGTGAAATACTAACTTTATCACCAATTTTTTTATTGCCTAATCTCTTGTTACTATTCTTATTATAATATGATGATGGTTTAAAATTTTTAGCAATTTCCAATGCTTCCTCACCAGAAATTCTTAAAGATTTATGTTGTTGATTTTCTCTAATAAATTTGATAAATCTATCAAACCATTGATGAGTTTTAGGATACAATTCAGTAATGTCTCCAAATTCTTTGGTAGCACCTTTATTAACATTTAAAAACCAAATATTCATTGCAACATGAATATCACCAATACTTGGTGTACTTGTATCCAAAAACCATTGTCGATCATCTGATAATTGTAATTCAATCCATTCATAATTTGATTTCAATGCATCAATAATAAATGGTCGAAGTGGTTTTAATTTATTGGGTTCAATTTTCTGATTCATCAATAAAGATCGGTCATTTAAAAGTTCTTGAGATTTGAAAATTGCTGGTGCATTTGGATCTTCAGGAATTAGTGATATGATAAAATTTGCTTGGAAAAAATATTTCTATATTTACATTATATTGGGGAAGTGGTTAAAACAAATTAGTAATTATAATAAATTAGAGAAAATAAATTGAAATAAACAAATAAATACATCTGTCCACATTGCCATAGCATATCCAAGTCCTTTATCACTTTTATCTGATCCAATTCTTTTAGGAAATAATGATGGTTCAGGATACCTAATTTTTTGTTATTTTATAAATTATTTTATCCAAATAATTATTTTTATTTTATTTTATTCATTTACCTTCTCTCCAATTCTTCTAAAATTAAAAGTGTATCAACAAATATATCTGATCCAATCTGAAGAACTGGTATACGTCGATATCCATGAGTTAAAGGTTGCAATAATCTAAAATAATTGGACTCATTAATGAATGAATAATTGAAAATATTAAATATTGAATACTTTTATTTATATTTATATTTATTTACGGTCTTGGCATGACTGGTGATACAATCACCGAAATCCATTTTAAACGTTTAATTGTTAAAGCCCATACAATTTTTTGTGAAAATGCTGAACCTTTAATTTAATTTTTAATAATAATATTTATTTTGTTATTTAAATTATTACAAAAAAAAATTTTTTTTCTTCCCCGCATAGATTACCTTTGTAATAGTGTAAAATAATAGGAGGTTGTTGTTGATCAATGGAATTCATATTTTTTTTTAATATTAATTCACCATAATTCACATGTATTTATATATTAATGTAAAAAAATTTTGTGTAATTCATATTTGTAAGTAGATTTCAATAATTACAATAATTTTCCGAACAGGGTACAAATTTAGTCAGAAAAAAACAATAAAAAATAGATTTCGTGATTCTGTTACTATAAAATTTTTTTATATACATAGTATAGTGATAAAAGGACTAATTATATACTGATATATCTGGTTAATTGACAAATCTTTTTTTTTAAAATGGCAACATCGGAAGAAGTAAAAAGCGAATTAAAAGACGCGAAGGAGAAGTTGGTGAAGTCAGAGGAAATTTGGAAGAATTTATGAAGGAGGAAAACTTGAGGAAGTTTGTAGTTGTGGGGGGATGAAAGATTTAAGGAAAGAAAAAGAGAGGGTGGTAAAAGAAAAAAACGAGTTGATGGAGTTGAAGGAAAGTTGGGAGCTATTATATCAAGAGGTATTACGTAGAGGAAAAGGTAATGAACAAATTATGTAAAAAAATATACAAAAAAAATTATTTTCCATTCGTTTGTTTATTCATTTGAGGGAATGATTTTTTATAATGTTGACCAACTTATTTTTGTACTCTTATTTTATCTATTATAACATTTATCTAACATTTTGTGTTATTTTCACCAATTTATCACATAGCACATAATTTGCCCGATGCCTTGGAGTATAAACTTCCCTCTCTATTATTGTACATAGAAGGACTATCATGGGTTTACCAGCCATCGATTAACTTGGTAGAGAAGTTGCAACGTTCTGTTATTGAATACTATCACACAAATCGAATATCCACTTTATTTTATGACCTCTAGTGCCGGAAGAGGAAAATTTATTATTATCAACGGATTGCAAACGGCAATGATAACACCAAATGATGGAAAGGATAAGCCTTCCTCATTCTATTCTTGTACGGTTGAGTTATCTCTTCTTGCTTATATGGGCCCGTTTGTCATTAATTGCTGCACAGCAACTTTCAGTTGCCTTTTCCACGAAGTTGTTGCATATTCACATCAAAAACGTATCTATCTTCTATACACTCTTAAAACCTCCGCAAGGACAAGAAAACCCCGTTTTTTCAAACAAACATCTTCTAAATATGCTTGTTAACGACATGGGCGGGCATGGTAGAGCTCTGGAGGCACTTGAGATAGCCATCAAAGGTAAAGACTTGGATAATTGCGACTTTGCAAAATTAATGAACGAGATATGTGAGACTTGTTGACCGTTATAGTGAATGGGTTTGTAAGAGCATCTACTTAAAACCAGTCCTTTGGATAATATTAACACAGAAAACTATACATGAGAATTTCATCATCCCTGAAACAGAAATCAGAATTCTCAAAATTGGGACTGGTTCAGTTTATGAATGATGAGGGAGAAACCGATCAAGGACGGTTTGCCTTGTCCTTACATATGGATTTGGATAATGGTGAACAAGTCAGATGATCCTATTTTTAGCAATTGGAATTTCCAATACTATCGAGAATGTCAAAGTATGGATGAACTGACTGTTCTGCCAGGATACCAATATTGGCAACATTTTGAAGATTTAATTGCTAGGTTTCATGTGCTCAAATCACAGCTGCATGGTTCTGGGGATAATGTTCCACTGGAAGAACTTCACAAACTCACAAGGTTGGGCGACGAAAATATTTTGGAGTGTAAAAAGTATTTCATCAAATGGGGCACATGTGACGAAGCATGACGAAAAGTGACAAAGGGTAAAGTCAAAAGTCAAATTATGATAAAGATGACAAAAATATAAATTCAATTTTATTTAGTTTAATTAAAACAAAAATTTAATTTTAAACATTTTTTTTACATCGTAAATCATGTTTCTTAGTTGGATATTTAATTTTGTATGCAAAGGTTTTAGTAGGAATTGCTGCTTCACATCTATTGCTGGTTTCATGACTTTCTTCAAAATCTGTAGAATCATCTGATAATCCTGATTGTTGAAATGCTTCTTCATTTACTATTTTAATGATACTGTAGCTAATTCTTGATGGATAAAAATGTCTATCAAGAATGTAAAATCAACAGATGTTTCATGAAAATGAACCATTATCCTCTTAAGCTGGTCCAGATAAGAACAGAATGCTTATAATTTTCATGTTTTTTAAAAAAGAAATGATCATGGTTATAAATGCAGTCCAAATTGGTTTGGTGATTTCGATGGTGTGTAATCCCCTTTATGACAGTGTCAAAAATACTTTGGGCTGCATGTATAATCATGGTTAAAGGAATCCTTGAAAAATTTTCCAAGTCTTTTTAAGTCACTTAAAACATGACCATTGTGGTCCAAATTTGTTGGAAAAGGACCATCACTTATTTCAGAGAATAGAAAATCAAAATGATGCTCATTGTGAAATTGAAAAATGAAAAGAAATCAGGAAACTTTGTTGGTCCACCAACATTGTTTCTAAAGTCTGTTGACTGGCAAGTACGCCCATCCCTAAAGTGAATTTGTGTTAATTGATGCAAACAGAAAGAAATTTATAAATTCTTTTAAAAAAATTTTTTTGGATGAAATTCATACCTTTCTTCAATATTTTTCACATCATACAGCATAAAATCCATCAAAGCATTTGCCACATTTATACATGAAGTCGAAATGTTTCAACTTGAGGCAACTACATAGTAAAAATTAGTTTCGACCTTATTTTGACCAGATCTGCAAATGGTCAAAATAGTTTCGACTTCATGTATAGCCACATTATGAGAGTAAGTTTTCATTGACTTTGTAATCTCTGTTTTGATATGACTTTTTATACCAAATTTTTTGCAAAATAATTAAACCATACTCACGAATTTCTCAATAATGATACCAAGTGCATAGTAGAAATCCTTATTAGAGATGGAATGGAAATGTCCTCATCCAACATGAAAGATTGAATAAAATTCTTTTCATTTATTCCAAGCATTATATTGGGAAATTTTTTCAACTTGAAATCCTCAATTAACCCAGGATTATGCAATTTGTCATACACAATTTTATGGTCCTTTTTTTGATAAAAATGTTTCTATTTAAAAATAAGTCATTACCATAAGTTTCAAGTTGATATTATTTCCAGGAATATTTTTCATTTTTGGATATTTTTTAATAAGCTATCAAATAAATTATTCATTAATGAATATTTTGCATAATAAATATTAACATGAACTCAAGATTTCAAATTTTTACTTCTGAAGCTTTCTTTTTAAATTCATCAGGATTGAATGTGTATTTGTCATAATAATCTGACCCTCTTTTGATAAACACTTACACTGCCTGGAAGAAAGTATCCGAACCTTGCTTTTTATTAATTCCGCAAACTTTTACATAATAATTTTTTTTTGAAAATATCATCATGTAGCTTATGTTCTAACAAATGTGTATGCAATATTTCACAATTCTGGTATTTATACTAATTTTTTAACCAAAAAAAAACAAACTTCGATTAAGGGTAGAGGATCTACATAGTACATATGAAAATTGTCCATTAAAAATTCTCGTGATATATTTAAATAAAACGCAACTTATCTTTTATTATTTGTTTATGAAATTATATAGAGAACTATAACTTTAACTGTATGTAAAAAAATTAAAAAGTTAGTATTAAAAACAAAGACTTGTATTATCAACCAAGTTAAAATACCTAGCGAATGTCTAATTAAGTTAGAGAATGTATAAGTTAAACATGCGGAATGACTGTTAAGGTTGCAAATGTTTAAGCCACAAACACATAAATATCTGTGTTAAATGCAATAATATTTATTACTTAAAGTCACAAGTGCCTAATGTTAACTTATTAAT